CAATTGAAAAGATGACGAATGGCCTCCAGAGAAATCATCCAGTACTCTGGTCCTGCCACCTGGGCAGAAGACAGGTCCGGGGCTATTGCACCCCTATGTATATGTTCAACTGCATCATCAGGCTGCAGGCTATTGTTAAAATTATAACTAATGAAACTGCAAGAGCCCTCAATTTACTGGCAAACAAAGCACTAAGATGTGCAATGCCATCTATCAGAACCGCTTGGCTTTAGACTATTTGCTGGCTTCTGAGGGAGTAGTTTGTGGAAAATTTAACCTAAACAACTGCTATTTACAGATTGATGATGAAGGAAAAGTCATAGAAGAGATCACAGACAAAATGAAAAAGCTTGCACATGTTCCCGTCCAGACTTGGAGAGGATGGGATCCCAAAGACCTGTTTGGAGGGTGGTTTTCTGCCTTAGGTGGATTCAAAACTTTGATAGGGATAATAGGCCTAATCCTAGGAAGATGCTTAATACTGCCCTGCCTGGTCCCCCTGGTATTGAGGTCCATCAGGACTTTTATGGAGGCCGTTATAGAAGGAAAACAGCCTCACATATAATGATGCTACAGAAATACAAACCCCTAGATCAAGATGATGCTCTTTGACCCTAAGTGGGTCCAAACATCAAACGGGGGAATGATGTAGCAGGGAGGAGGATCAGAAGAAAACAAGCTAGGCCTAAATTCTGATGAAGTAGCAGGGGGGAAGTGATGTAATAGCAGAGAGATAAAACCTAAAGAATTCAGAGGTGAAGAAGGTCACATAGCACTGGGGTAGAGGGGCACTAACACTAGGTGAAGTAGCCTATAGAATTGCATGGAACCATATATGGGTTAAACCTTGTTTTTTGATTTTATTGCCTCTGTAACCTGCTTGCAAAGGTACATAAGGTGAGACCCCTTTGTTCTTGGGGCTCAGCCTTTGGATTGAGTCTGCTGGGTCTGTGCTGGCACAATAAAACGTTGCTTCCTGCTAAGTTGCCTCAGTGTCTCGTATCTCAGCTAGCAACTTCCCACAACACTATGAGTCCCAGAACTTTCCCTACTTTAGCCTGCCTCATTAACAAGTGAAATCAGTCAATAGGAGAAGCCCCCTCATGCCCCTAAAGCTGACTGGACCAACCCAGAGACTGCATGCCCCATGTGGAAACAGGTGAGGGGCCAGAAGGACACTTGAGGGGGACTACCAGTTTCCTGGTCCCCAGCCTTGCTTGAGAAGCCTTTGTTTTCCTTCTCCAACTTTGCTACTTTGTTTCAATACCTTCAGTTTCAATAGATCCTACTTTGCTTTGTGTCTTTATTATCTACTTTGCTTTATTTCCTCACCTTTTAATTCTTCACTGGGTGGAGGAAAAGAACCCTCCTCAGAGCCTTTGGAGATATTACTATCTCGAAAAGATTCAGCATAAAATAAGACTGGTGGAGTAGCTCAAGTGGTAGAATGCTTGCCAACAAGTGTGAGGCCCTGAATTCAAATCTTAGTATCACAAAAATGAAAAAAGAAAAGAAAAGCACATAAAAAGATGTTCAAAATTGCTAGCCGTTAGGGAAATATACATCAAAACCATAATGAAGCTAGGCACTGGTGGCTCACATCTGTAATCCTAGCTACCTGGGAGGCTGAAATCAGGAGGATCGAGGTTTGAGGCCAGTTCAGGCAAACAGTTGGAAAGACCCTAGCTCCAAAATAACCAGAACAAAATGGACTGGAGAAGTAGCTCAAGTGGTAGAGCTCCTGCTTTGCAAGTGAAAAGCCCTGAGTTCAAACCCCAGTCACACACACACACACACACAAAACCCACAGTGAGATAACATTCCATACCCACTAAGAAGTCTACAATCAAAAAAATAGATAAGGACTCGTGGAGTGGCTCAAGCGCCTGGCCTGAGTTCAAACCCTTGTACCTCCCCTCCCCGCTACCAAAGAGGAAAAAGTTCTGTGGCTCTACCATTTGAGCCACTCCCCAGCCTTGCTCCAGAGATCTGTTGCGCAGCAATGTGAATATATCTAAGACTACTGAACTTTACACTTAAAAACCATTAAGAGGGCCAATTTTATCTTACATGTTTCTAACTGAACTAAAATAATGTAAGCCAAGCATGGTAATCACAGCTACACAGGAGGTGGAGATGGGAGGCTAGCCTGAGCAAAAAAACATATTGAGACCCTATCTCAAAAATCAAAACTGGGGCGGCAGAGTGACTCAAGTCCCTGAGTTCAAACCTTAGTACCATTAATCAATAATAATAATAAAAAAAAAAGCAAGTGAAAAGATGCTCATCATGACTGATCATTGGGAAATGTAATTAAAACCTAAGCGTTGATGAGGTCTGAGCCACTGGAATTCTCATGCACTCCTAGTGGAAATGTGAACTGAGAGAAAAAGTTAGCATTTTCTTAAAAGTTAAATGTACACTTACCTATTTGGTTCAGCAACTCTACCCCAAGGTATTTGCCTGGGAAAAATAAAAAGAAACGAGAATATTTTGTTTTGTGGACTGAAGTGTTGCCTGATTCTACAATCAAAGTAAAACCAATTAAGATAACTTAAAAAAAGAAATGTGTTTACAGAAAGAATCATGCACAAATACTCATGGCACCTTTATTCATGAAAATGTAATATTGGAAATTACCCAAAGACCATCAATAGATGAATGAATGAATAAACAAATTGTAGCATAACCATTTAACAGAATGCTACCAAGTAACAAAAACAAATGAACGACTGATGGACCTAATAATGTTGATCAATTTTATAGAAAAGCTGAGCAAAGGAGACTAACACAGGCTAGGGGCATAGCGCAAGTGGCAGAGCACCTGCCTAGCAAGCTTGAGGTCCTTAGTTCAAATCCCAGAACCTCTGAAATAAAAGAGGCAACTCAAGGGTCAATTCAACTATGATATATTGTAAGAACTTTTATAAATGTCACAATGTATCCCCAGTACAATAATAATAATAATAAGAGGCAAATAAAAAAGTATATACATCATATGATACCTTTTGTATCAAATTCTGGAATAGTCAAAAGCAAACTACAGTGACAGAAAGATCAGGGGTCACCTGGGTCTGGAGTTAGAAGGACCACAAACAGACATGGAGTATGTTTTTGTGGGGGGTGATGGAATTTTAAATATCTTGATTGTGAAATAGTTTCATAAGAGTAAATTTTCAAGTGGAGGCCCCATATCTAAACTGAATAGTTACATTTTATCATTGATTATCTTCTATCTTTCTTACAAATAATGAATAATATGATTGTTTGTTGTAAGTCAAAGGTTTTGTTGTTTTGTTTTGTTTTGCGGTGCTAGGGTTTGAACTCAGGGCCTACACCTTGAGCCACTCAAGGGGAGGCGGGTTTCAAGATAGGGCCTCTCAACCTATTTGCCTGGGCTGACTCAAACCTAGATCCTCATAATCTCTTGCCTCCCAAGTAGCTAGGATTGTAGGCATGAGTCACTGGTGCCAGGCTATAAGTCAAAGTTTTATCAAACAAAACAGAAGATGGATGAAGTGCAATGGAAATTCTAGTGGGAAACAAAGTACCCTGGTGCACAGGTACCTCCATTGAGCATGTCTTGTTGTATAAGCTTCTTGTTGCTGCTATAACAAATTATCACAAACTTAATAGTATGAAAAAATAGAAATTATCTTCCAGTTTTGGAGATCAGAAGTACAAGGTATCCCAGGACTAAAATCAAGGTACCATAAGGTGGCAGTTCATTTTGGAGGCTTTGGTGGAGAATTGATTCCCTTGCCTTTTCCAGCTTCTAGAGGCTGCCAAATTCCTGGAATCATGACCTCATCTGAATCAACAATCTCCCTGCCACCTTTTTGGTGAGACTGGGGTTTGAACTTAGGGATTCACACTTGCAAGGCAGGTGGTATACTGCTTGAATCACACCTCCAGTCCATTTTGCTGTGGTTATTTTGGAGAAAGGGTCTGTTGAACTATTTGCCCGGGCTGGCCTTGTACCTCTGTCCTACTGATCTTAACCTCTCAAGCCACTATGATTACAGGTATGAGCCTCTGGCACCAGATGAAGTACTTTATAATGTGGGTTTTCTGCCCTTTCTTCAAGACGTTCATCTGCCACTGTGGAAACAATTGTTTTATCCTGTGGAGGCTCCAACTTGTCTTAAGACTAAGTAAAGTCTTGTGTTTAGAGTTCCAGTTTAGGGTTCATGGGGCCTCAAGACTCAAAGTTCAGAGGTTCTAGATTTGAGACCCTAGAAGGAATGTAACTCTTGAGAGCGTGACCTCCAGTCTGACAGGATGCTGAGGCTGAAAGGAATTTGTGGCTTGAACTTGACCCATGGTTGAGGCAATAGCAATAGGGAAGTACAGCATTAACTTTTTAAGAGGGGATAAAAAAAGCAGGGGTGGACATGGCTATACACTTGACCTTGGCTTCAAGGAGGAAGAGAGACAATAATTATCTGACTCAGAGGCCAAGGTCCTTCTGATTTTGCACTTACAGCCACCCTCCCATTTCCAACAGGGACTTGGGGGCAAAGGGCAAAATGAGAAGAAGGAAGTAACAGGTGAAAGCCACGGTGTTCTCACCAGGTAACACTGGAGAATTTCAGTGTTCTCTCTTACTTTTGTACTTTCTTCCCTCCATTAAATAGTGATGGGTGAGTCTTATCTGAACTTAAAAGGAAACAAAAAAGCTTACTAAATTCAAATGTCCTCAGAGAAGAACTTTGACGTTGAGTAACCAGTGCTCTGCCCTGCAGAATTAATGTGATTTGTATTCTAGGCTTTCTTAGCACCACAGATGCAAATCCCCACATGGATGGACCTCTCCAACTACTACCTGCTTGTATGTATAGTCCACATCCCAGTAGCTGCCTGAGACTCAGGAATGAGTCATTGTCTGTCCAAGCAGGTGGCAGTGGGCACACCTAAAGAAGCAAAGTTCAAGCACATTGCTGGCAGGAGAAACCGTATAACACAGCCTCCAGAGGAAAGGAGTCCAGAGACACTGCAATATGGCTTCTGAGACAGGTAAAGTGGATCCTCAGTTCTAGCAAAGTTCATACCTTTTTTCTCCCTCTCTCTCTCCTTCTCTCCCTCCCTTCCTTCTTTCCTTCCTTCCAGCCTAGGCTGGACTCCAACACCTGTCCTCAAATGATCCTCCTAGTTCAGCTTTCGAGGTAGTTGGGGACTACAAGTGTATACACCAGGCCTGGTTTGGGTCCATATTCTTGAAGAGTGAAAAAATTGTCTGTGTGTGGTGTGTATGTGTGGGTATGTGACCTGTGTATGCTGTGTCCTTGACATTTCCCAATGTTCCTCATTCCTATTAATGATTAATATATTAGTATTGTTTTTAATATTTATTATAATGATGAAATATAATTTTGACCAAATAACATTGGAAGGCTAAGGTAGGAGGATTGCCAGTTTGATGCCAGCCAGGGTTACATAAAAAGTTCCAAGCCAGCCTGAACCACATAGCAAGAGAGACTTGGTCTCAACAAAGAAAAAAAAAAAAACTGTTGAAATAACGGTTTGAGATAAAACAGAAGTGGTAGCACAAGTCTAATGGGCACAGATGATTGTCAATGATTAATTGATAAGTTAATGCACAGTTCATTACTTGATGCTAGAAAATTCATGGGGAAGAGAAGCTACTGCAGGCTATGGATGAAGTGATTTCAGATGAGGTGGGATTGGATCCGGGTTTTAAAAAAAGGGTAAAATTCAGATTGGCAAAGAGGAGAAGGAGATTCCACATTGACTAAGTCCTGTTGACAAAATGAGTTTGAGAGTCTTTGCCGAGATTTGTGTTTGGAATATGAAGAATAAACAGATTAAGCTACAGAAGAGTTTATAGGAGTAATCTATAGGAAGGTTAGAAAGTAAGTTTGGAGCAATGTTGTAGGAGACTTTGAATAGTAAACAAAAGGAATGGAGGGTTAGGCTTTATTTACTAGACATAATGTCTTTGGAGAGTTTCTAAAGCACAGAGTTATGATTATATAGTGATTTAGACACATTTATCAAGCATTTGATGGGTTTTGGGTCTGGATGCAGAGAACACTGGAAATAAGGAGACCAGCTGGAAGATCACTGCAATAGGGTGGGTATGGTGACACAGGAGGTCATATAGACATCACTTGGGGTTTAAATAACAATATATTTTTGTCTATTGTATTCGCTCTCTAAAATTCTCCTTTAAGTTCCATGTCAAACATCATCCTCACCATCATTTTGGTGGGGCTGGAGTTTGAACTCAGGGCTTCCCCATCCCTAACATTATTTAAAATAAGTATGTGGGTACCTTCTCTGCACTTTCCTAAGAAGATGGTGTATCCTTTCCCTTCCTTTCTTCTTCCCTTCCTCCCTCCCTCCCATTTGTGGGTGTTGAGGATTAAACCTAAGGCTTTTAGCATGCCAGGCAAGCCCTCTACTACTGAGCCATACCCCCAGTCCTCTGGTCCTTTTAAGAATCAGAGATTTATTCTTTAAGTCACACTTAGGATACTGTTTCTCTCTCTCTTTTTTTTTGTTTTGGTGGTACTGGGGTTTGAACTCAGGCTTTGTTCTTGCCAGGCAGTCACTCTACCTCTTGAGCCACTCCACCAGCCCTAGGATACAGTTTCTTGATTCTGTTCTATTTCCTAGACATCTGGCTAACTTTCCCCCCGCCCCATCTGGTGCTGGAGATCAAACCCCGAGCCTCACGCATGCTAAGCAAGTGCTCTACCACTGAGATACACCCGTGCCCCAATATGTGGTTAACTTTTCATTTTAGTCCCTCTCACTAGGTAGAACCACTCTCATCTACAGGAGACTGTATCATGGACAGCCACCCTTCTGACTGCCCCCTACCATCCAGAGCAATGTCAGAGATAGGTGTTGCATACACACAGACCCTTCCATAAAACACATTCTGTTTTCTTGGTTCAAAACCAGTACCTGGGAGTTACAATTTGCCAAGGAGGGTGAACTAGAACTGCTGCTGCCGTCTCCCCACACCCCTTAACCCTCAGTGGCAGGAGAGACTTTTGTTTGCCTTGGACCCACTGATGAGTGGTCTCTTGTGAGGGCAATCTTATGCCCTCTCCAACATCAGGGATGTCTGCTTTCTTGGAAAGAGAGATTAGTGATGGTGAATGAGTGAACTCACGGCTTTGCACTTGTAAAGCAGTACTCTACCACTTGAGCCACACCTCCCACCCAACATGTTTTTTCTTAAAAATTATTTAAAAAAATTCTGCCTGGTGCCGGTGGCTCACACCTGTAATCCTAACTACTCAGGAAGCGGAGATCAGTAGGATCGAGGTTCAAAACCAGATCCAGGCAAATAGTTCTCAAGACCCTATCTTGAAAATACCCATCACAAAAAGGGCTGGCAGAGTGGCTCAAAGTGAAGGCCCTGAATTTAAGCCCCAGTACCAAAAAAAAGACCAACTTATTTATTTATTGTGGTGCTGGGGATCAAACCCAGGACCTTACTTATGTATGCTAGATAAGCATTCTACCAGTGAGCTACACCACTCCAGCCAGGTTACCTGGTTTGGAATTAGACATCTGGATAAATAGATTTTAGCAGAGCCATTAAAATTTGTGTTTTCTTTTAGTGCAGTGAGCTGGCCTGATGCAATGAATCTATGAGACAATCTTCTAAGTCTATTTTTTTTTTTTTTTTTTGGAACCAGGATTTGAACTCAGTCTTCTCACTTACAAAGCAGGACTGTACCATTTGAGCCACATCTCCAGTCCATTTCGCTCTCGTATTTTGGGTATGGGGTCTCACAAGCTATTTGGTTGGGTTGACCTTGAATCTTGAGCCGTCTGATCTCAGCCTTCCAAGTAGTTAGCATTACAGGCGAGAGCCACCAGCATCAGGCTTCTAAGTCTATTTTCTGATAGATTTGCAGATTGAGAAGAATAGAGCACTTTCTCTTCATAGCTTAGCTTGTATTTGGGTGTTTTTTGACATAATCATCTCTTGGTCAGCAGGTCCTTCAGCTGGTGACCCCACTCTGAGGTAAGATTAATACTCACAAAGTGCTATTTAATCCAATCACGAGTAAATGAATTTATTTAAGAATTGTAGAACTATAGATATTTTATTGTTCCTTTCCTCATTTACCCAGTTACCCTTCTTTCTTTGTTTTTGACTTTCTGACTTAATTTTCTATTATTGTGATTTATCTTTGCTCCTATGTCATTTGGTTTCTTTTCAAATAAATTACCTTCCAACTTACTTCTGTGTTGTCTTACTGTTCCTCTTCTCCAATTAAATCACATAATTTTTTATAGCTTTTAGTGACATGATTGGGGAAATTATCACTTTGATTTTTATCTTCTTATTTTATACTATCTGCCCATTTCCCAGATTTGTAGAATGGGGAGATCACGTCAAGAAATGTATCATCTCATGACAGGTAGAAGGGAAGCACTGATCTATGGAGATTTCTTTTATTATTATTATTAGTTTTAGTTTTTGCGGCAGGGTCTCACAATGTAGCCCAGGCTGGCCCCAAACTCACAATCCTCCTGCCTCAGCCTCTTGAGCTCTGGGATTACAGGTATGTACCACTACTTCAGGGATGAGTGGGAACAATTAGGATGTAATAATTAGGATGTAATAAACTATGCCTTCTTCATATTGAAAAGAGGAGTCCTTGCTTAGGATGACCCTGTATTTCATCTGGGTCACAGATTTCAGATATGGAGAATGTTAAGCCTAAGACCTAAATTGCAGGTGTGGCTCAAGTGGTAGAGTACCTGCTTTGGAAATGCAAAGCCCTGAGTTCTAACCCCAGTCACACCAAAAAACAAACAAATACAAAATCCTTAAGACTCCTTTGGGAAGAATTTGGACTTGAGTCTTTCTCTTATGAGGAATTAGTATACAGAAATCCTCATAAAGTGGAAGAATTTTTTTTTTTTGAGGTACTAGGGTTTGAACTCAGGGCCTACACCTTGAGCCACTCCACCAGGCCTTTTTTTGTGATGGTTTTCTTCAAGATAGGGTCTCATGAACTATTTGCCAGGGCTGGCTTCGAACCTCAATTCTCTAGATCTCTGCCTCATGAGTAGCTAGGATTACAGGTATGAGCCACCAGTGCCTGGCTAAATTAATCTTAAAGCTAAATTACCCTTTTCTCAGGTTTAACTACAGAATCTTTTGGCAAGTTTTTTTTTTTTTTTTTTTTTTTTGTGGTGGTACTGGGGTTTGAACTCAGGGCCTCACACTTGCTAGCCAGGGGCTCCACCACTTGAGCCATAACTCCAGCCCTATAAGAAGATTCTTTGAGACTTCAACATTGCTAAAATTTGGTTAGAGTTCACTGAGGAATAGTGAAAATAAAGACGGGGACCACAGGTCTCTCAGTGTGAAGCAGAGTTTTTGGAAACCTTTTTTTTTGGTTGTATTGGGGTTTGAAGTCAGGGCCCCACTCTTGCTAGGCAGGTGACATACCACTTGAGCCACTCCACTAGTCCTGTTTTGCGTTTTGTTTTTTTCAAGATAGAGTCTTGTAGATTATTTGCCTGGGCTGGCTTCAAACAAAGATCCTCCTGATCTCTGCCTTTTGGGTACCTAGGATTATAGGCGTGATTGCTGGCACCCAGCAGGAGAAACCTTTAAAACAGAAACAAACAAGTCCTGACAATGTGGTGCATACCTGTAATCCCAGCTAGTAGGAGACAGAAAATGATCACAGGCCAGCTGGGAAAATGAGAAAGCCCCTGTCTCAAAAACAAGCTAAAGGCTGGCTTAGCGCTCAAGTGGTAGAGTGCCTGCGTAGCAAGTGTGAGGCTGAGTTAAAACCCAGTACTGCAAAGCAAACAAACAAACAAACAAAAAAACCCCAAACATCAAAACAACAGCAAAAACTAAACAAGGATGCAGTTCTACCTAAACAGAGACAATGCCATGAGTAGGGAAAAACAAAACCTTTCACGAAGTTTGTGAGGGAAACTCTGATCATTCAAATGAACCTCTGCAGACAACTTTGAGACAGAATAGAAAAGTCACCTGAGACATCACATTTCAGATAGGAGGAGGAGGAGGGGAACATGGAGTGATTTCTAAAAGAATCCGTGAGAACAGTGGGTGTCTTTTCTGTTTCAGGAGAAGAATCGAACCCTGGGAATTTGAAGTCTTCTTTGATCCCCGGGAACTGCGTAGAGAGACCTGTCTGCTCTATGAAATCCAGTGGGGTACCAGCCACAGGAGGTGGCGGAAATCAGGCAAGAACACCACCAATCACGCTGAAGTTAATTTCATAGAAAAACTGACTTCAGAAAGACAGTTTTGCCCGTCTGTCAGATGCTCCATCACCTGGTTCCTGTCCTGGAGTCCCTGCTGGGAATGCTCCCAGGCTATTCAAGAATTTCTGAGTCAACACCCTAATGTGACTCTGGTGATTTATGTAGCTCGGCTTTATTACCATATGGATCAGAGGAACAGGCAAGGACTCAGAGACCTCGTTAACAGTGGAGTGACCATCCAGATCATGAGTGTCCCAGGTAAAAAACAGAGACCAAGACTCCTAAGTGTTTATAACAGACAGCAGTGTCCTAGGCAGGAAGTATCAGAAGTGAAAGTCAAACTAATGGGAGAAGGGACCAGGTCTAACATTCCCAGCAACGAAAGTGTCAGCAATTCCTTTATCTAACCCTTGCCACTATGGCCTCACAGCCATTATGAATAAATTGTTCTTTTTAGGGACTGTAACCCATCTTCATTAGCAAATAGGCCAGAATTTTTGTTTACAGTATACTTTTTCTCTCCCCTCTCCTCCCTTTCTCTCCCTTCTCTCTTTCCAGTGCTGGGAATTGAACCCAAGGACCCATGCATACACTGCCAGCTATGGTTTACTTTTTGTTTTAATATATATTTTTGAGTTGGAGTTCTCCTTAAGTTGTTTACCATTGTATTTATTGAACGAACCAAGATTAGTGTTTCCTTAGAGTATTGTTACTGCTGGAGGAATTTTGTCAACTTCCCACCTGGGCAGGAAGCGCACTGGCCGAGATACCAGCCTCAGTGGATGGCACTGTACGAGCTGGAGCTGCACTGCATCATCCTGGTAAGTTACTGCAAGGGACAAAGACTCAAATACATACATAAATAAATAAATAAATAAAAATCCTCCTTCAAGCTTCTGTTCTGACAGTTTTGACATGTCCAGCAAACCCCTGTTATCCTTGGGTCTGTGGTTCCAAGGTGACGCCACTGAGGAAAAGCCTCACACACTCAGGATGCAGAGCTTTCAGTGGTGTCCTGCGGATGCTTTGTTCTCTTTTTTCCCCGTAACACCACCCAACTTCCACTGGAGACATGCTGCCTTTCAACAAATCTCAAATTGTTACTTGATCACTTTAATTAAGTATGTTATATGGTCTTTTTGGCTGGGCAGGATTACCATAACTTTTACCTTGCCTTTTGGGCACCATTTGCTTTCTGCAGGTCAGGGAACACTCAGCAGATCACATAACAACTTGAACAAACTGACCCTAATGTGGGACTGACTGAGAACTTCACCACAGCCACTGAGCTTTGGAGTGCACTGGCAAGAATTAAAAATTTTTGGTTTTGAAATTTCTTTTGGCTTTTTAGTTCTTACTTTTTTTGACCACTCTTGGTCAAAACCATCTGCAATATATCCACAAATGAGACAGGCTTATTGTACTTCAGCATCTTTTTGCCATTTATATTGATAGGTAGTATTTAGCTAGTTGACTGATTTTTTTTTTCTTTTCTTGTTAAAAAAATTTTTTTATTATGCATTTATTCACATGTGCATACTTTGTTTGGGTCATTTTACTTATTATTTATTTATTTTATAATTTCTTTTATTCATATGTGCATACAATGTTTGGGTCATTTCTCCCTTCTTCCCTCCGCCCCCTGTTTGGTCATTTTAGTTGACTCATCTTAAGAAAATGTGAGAGACGGGTGCTGGTGGCTCACACCTGTAATCCTTGTTTTCCTTTCTTGCTACTTGGGAGGCTGAGATCAGGAGGATCGAGTTTCCAGGTCACCCCAGACAAATAGTTCTCCGAGCCCCATCTCCAAAATAACCAGAGCAAAATGGACTGGAGGTGTGGCTTAAGTGGTAGGGCACCTGCTTTTCAAGCACAAGGACCTAAGTTCAAATCCCAGTCCCATCAAAAACAAAAAGAAAATGTGAGAACAAGGCAATCTCAAGAGGTCAGGAGATGATGGGAATGATCTAACTAATGTACAATGCAAGGCTATTTGGAATTGTCACAATGAACCCCACCCCCTCCTATGAATATATCCTAATAAAGATGAAACAAATAATTTAAAATACAAAAACAAAAGAAACCCATTGCAGTCTCAAGCTGACATGGTGGTACATGCCTGAAATCCCAGCACTCAGGAGGCTGAGGCAGGAGGATCTTGAGTTAGAGATCAGCCTGGCTACAGAGTGACACTGAGTTAACCTCCTCAACAAAACAAAACCCCAAACGAGACCGTCTCCTGGTGAGAAGTGAGTGGGAGAAGGGAATGGGTAAATTGGTCTGATGCATTTTAGTTCCATTTTATCACTAGTACTATTGTTATTGTCACACATACTGAACTATGTTAGTTCAGTTTCCTTTCCCACATGGGTATGTGTCAGTCATCCTATCAGAGACATGTACCTGTCTCATTTGAATTCTCGGTCCAATGGCAGTTCAATAGTAACATTAACTAAAATACTTATCCCAAGGATAAAATGTAATCTTTTTTTTTTTTTTTAATTTCAGAGTCTTCCACCCTGTTTAAAAATTTCAAGAAGATGTCAAAAACAGCTTACATTTTTTGGACTTACTCTTCAAAATTGCCATTACCAAGCAATTCCACCTCACATCCTTTTAGCTACAGGGTTGGTACTACCTTTTGTGCCTTGGAGATGAATAGAATGATTCCTTGTGTTTCAATAACAAGCAATGGTGACCCACTAAAGAGTGAATATCACTAAAAATCTAGAAATTCAGCTGGGCCCCCTATAACACTTGGGAAGCTGAGGCAGGAGGATCTCAAGTTTGAATTCAGCTTGGGCTACAAAGGGAGACCATTTCAAAACCAAAAAAACAAAAACAAACAAGAATTTAGAACTTTTCATAAACAGCAGTATCATGTATTGTGTAATCTCCTGCCATATTCCAAACTACCCTAAAACTTTGTATTTTGCAACAACAATAAATATTTATTATGTCTCACAGTTTCTGTGGCTCAGGAATTCAGGCACAGCTTCCCTGTGTGTGCCTGGCTCAGGGTCTCCAGGAAGGTTATAGTCATGTTGTCAACCAGGGCTGCCTGAGACTAAAGGATGTCCTTTCCAGGTGGCACGCTCACGTGGCTGGCAAGTTGGTGCTTGTGACTGCTGGAAGATCTCAGCTTCTTGCTATGTTGGCCTCTGCATAAGGCTGCTTAAATGTCCTAATAACATGGCAGTGGTTTCCTATAGAGCATGTGGGATGGAAGTTTCCATATCCTTAACGACTTAGTCTTAGAATCCTACCCTATTTCTTTCTTCCCTTCTTCCATCTCTCCCCTCCTCCTTCCCTCGCTCCCTTCCTTCCTTCCTTTCCTTTTCTTTGGTAGTACTGAGGTTTGAACTTAGGGCCTTATGCTTGCTAGGCAGGTGCTCTATCACTTGAGCCACTCCACCATCCCATGATACCCTATCTCTTCTGCAGTAGTCTATTTATCACACAGGCTGGCTATGACTCAGTATGGGAAGGACTTGAATTTCAGGAAGTGAAAAATCATTGGACGCCATCTTGGATTTTCCCCATAGAGACTTTCTCTATGTTTTCAGAACAAATAGTTACATGGAGCCAATTTCTATGACATATCTAGAGGAAAACAAAGTAGTATATTTTTATTTCTTTCTGAATCAGAACATCATATGATTTAATAGATGATTTATTCATCAGAACTTAATAGGATGATTTATTGTAATAACAACATTCCTAAAATTGAGTAGCTTAACAAACACAAAAATATTTTGCAGTTATAAAGCACTTGCCTAGCCTGTGTGAAGGCCTGGGTTCAATCCCCAGCACTGCAAGAAAAAAAAGAAAAGATTTATTTCTTGTTCTCATTGTAGTCTAAAGCAAGTTAAATGGGACTGTTGAGTCTTGGCATCCTGTAATTGAGTTCTACCCCTTCACCTGGCTTGGCGTGGGATGGGGAACATTAAAGTAGTGGGAAAGAGTGGGTTCAGGTTCAAGATCTGAGAGAAATCATTGCCAATCCCATTCCACCAAACAGAAATCAGTCACGTGGTCCCACCTAACTATAAGGAGGCTGAGAAACAGCCCAGCTGCTGCCAAGGGAGAAATGAAAATGGGGTTTGGTGAACACAGTGTGCCTGCCACAATAAAGAAACCAGGAAGTTAAGATGTTCTGCAACTTGGCCAGTCAGAGAGGAAAACCCGTGTCAGAAATGGTACTAGCAGGCTCGCACCTGTAGTCCTCACTATTTGGAAAGCTGAGACTGGGAGGATAGAGGTTTTAAGCCAATTCAGGCAAAAACTTCTCTTGACCCCCATCTCCAAAATAACCAGAGCAAAATGGACTGGAGGCATGGCTCAAGCAGTAGAACATCTGGATGGCCATCACAAAGCCCTGAGTTCAAATCCCAGTCTCTTCCCAAAATTGGCGGGGACTAAAACTCAATGTGCCTAAGGCACTCAAGGTGTAAGCCTGCTGTGATGGTGTATCTTGATTGGATTGAGAAGTGCCCAGGAGAACAGTAAAGCAGGCCTCTGGGTGTGTCTGTGAGGGTGTTTCCAGAAAGGGTTGACTAAGTGGGGGAGGACCCACTCTGAATGTGGGCAATACCACCCATAGGCTGGGGGCCTGGCCCTCACTCTCATTGCTCTCTGGCCTCCATGATATGAAGTTCTCTGTTCTGTCATGCTCTCCCTACTGTGATGGACTAAAGCCTCTGACACTATGAGCCTGAATGTATGTTTCCTCCAAGTTGGTTTTCTCAGGTATTTGGTTCAGTATTCATCTACTTTAGTGCAAAAGGATAAAGAGATCCAGAAAGACTGTGTTGAAAACAATGAAACTAAGACCCTGCCTCAATAAACAAGAAGAGACTGGGTGCAGTGGTGCATTACTGTAATCACAGCCACTTGGGAGGCAGAGATAGGAAGATGGAAGCTCAAGGTCAGCCTGGGCAGATAGTTCATGACACTCCATCTCCAAAATACTCAAGTATACTCAAGTGTAGATCACCTGCTTTGCAAGCATAAAGGCCTGAACTCAAACCCCAGTATCACCAGAAAAAAATAGTGTGAGGCCCTGAGTTCAAATTCCAGTACCAGCTGGGCATGGTAGTTTACATCTGTTTGAGAGACTCCCATCTCAAAAAATGGCTGAGTGTGGTGGTGCACACTTGTCCTGAATCTATGTGGGAAGTGTAAATAGGGGGATCACAGTCCAGGCTGGCCTAGGAAAAAGTGCAAGACCCGATCTCAAAGAATAATCAAAGCAAAAAAAAAAAAAAAAGAAAAGGCTGGAGATGAGGCTCAAATGATGGAACATCTGCCCAGCCAGTACAAGGCCCAGATTTAAAAACCTAATATAAAAAAAAATTAAATTATGAAACTTACCCAATTTCCTACATCCTTGTCCACACTATATATTAATATCCCGCATCTTTGAAAGTCTGAGGGATGAACAGTGGGACTCCATTTTAATTTTTTATTAAGTATATAAGTATAGCTCAGACTGGTCTCAAACTCATGATCCTCCCACCTAATCCTCTTTCCCTCATTGGTTACTGGTGTGTGCCAACATGGTAATTAAATTTTTAATTAAAAAATTTTTTTGGAGACAGGCTGACCTAAACTCGCAATCCTCCTGCCTCAGCCTGCCACTGCTGATATTGCATGCACCACCAGGCCTGGCTTCACATTCTTTAACGTCCGCATCCAGCAGACCTGGATGCTGGTGATTACAGTTAGCCAGATTTAAGGTCTTGGCAGATGGGAGCAATAACTTCGTGAGGGGCAGGGAGTTTCAGATGAGCAGAAGTCTGTGAACTAGGTAAGAAGGAAAATGAAAAAAAGGACAGGGCTGGTGGGGTAAGAAAAAGTCTGGAAGTCGGTGAACTGGAAATCTTGATAAGGCCATTAAATAAGGAGTATGTGTACTTAAGTAATCATGCTTGAAGAATTGTATGTTATGGTCAGAAATAGGATGCAGTAACTATTTTGAAAGCAAATTACCTACAGTTGATAAGAAATGTCCAGTGCGTGACTTGGGGAGTCTGTGGCTGAGGTAGAATGAGGAGTTCGAGTAACTGATATGATTTTTTGTTTGTTTGCAGCACTGGTGTTTGAACTCAGGGCTTCATGTTTTCTAGGCAGGCACTCTTACTGCTTGAGCCACTCTACCAGCCCCTACACCAAATAATTGAAAGGTAAGCCCTTCATTGGTCTTTTTTTTTCATGGTGCTGGGGCTTGAACTCAGGACCTACACCTTGAGCCACTCCACTAGCCCTTTTGTGATGGGTTTTTCAAGATAAGGTCTCAAGAACTATTTGCCCCGGCTGGCTTTGAACCTCAATCCTTCAGCTCTCTGTCTTCTGAGTAGCTAGGATTACAGGGGTGTGAGCCACAGGTGCCTGGCAGACCACATTAATCTTAAAAAGCCTTGACATCTTGACATATTGTGCCTGGATCCCTTCTTCTCAATATTCTTCATAGACTCTGTTGAATCCTGGGTTATGGGTGTTTTACAAGGTCTATCACCTGTCAATCATGCATTAATTAGATTGAGTAAAACCGATTTTTCTGGAAACTGGGAAGAGAGTAGTGAATAAAACAGATATTGTGTTTGCTTTCAGGATGATCAAATTCTAGTTTTCTGCTGGGTGTGGGTGACTCATGCCTATAGTTATAGTGAGGACTTGAATTATACTGGGGACTCAATAAACAACAGTTTCTTTACTCATGATTTCAGAGCTCTAATCCTGACTTTTTTCTTGAGCAACAAAGTCACAGATTATTATTATTATTATTATTTTTGGAACTCTCAGTGTAATCAGTGGAGGTAGACACATGAATAAATTGGGGGAATCAAGTTTATTTATATCTATTTCTTTGTGGTGCTAGAGTTTGAACTCAGGGCCTTGAGCTTGTGGACAGTTTTACATATTCTCGATAATATGTCCTGAGTTGAATGTGAGAAATAATAAAGACAGTAAATGCAGTTGTGGTACACATGATGTACCAGGCCCTGTGTGTTCCAGACATTGGACTCATTTGACCTTGGCAGTTGTCCTACCAGTCAAGGACTATTACTATTCCCACTTGTAAGTCAGAAAACTGAAGCCAGAAAGTTCCAGTGATCTGACCAAGGTCAATTTGCTAAGTTTTAAGCCACTCTGACTCTGGAGTTTAAGTTCCTTTTTTTTTTTTTTTTTTTTTGGCAGCACTGGGGTTTGAATTTAGGGCCTCATGTGTGCTAGGCAGGCTCTCTACCACTTGAGCCACTCCAATAGCCCTTTTTTTTGTGTTGGGTATATTTGGGATAGGATCTTGAGAACTATTTGCCGGGGTCTGGCTTCAAACTGCAATCCTCATGATCTCTGCCTCCTAAGCAGCTAGGATTACAAGCGTTAGTCACCAGCACTCAGCCCAGAGTTGAAGTTCCTTAACTCACCACTACACTACCTCACTAAAGAGGAAGCAATTATTTGTGACAAAAACAGCATTTCTTGCAACTCTCTTTACATAGCAGATCTATTTCCCTCCAAATTTTACAATTCAAAAACATCCCCTGGAGGAAACAAGCTGTAGACCCAGGTTCTGCCAGTTAATGTAAAGCAACTCGACCTTTTATTACACTTGGATCAATATTCTAATGATGACTTATTTTCTGATTTTCCCC